CTTCATCAATTGATCCATCAGCCTTGCGCTTGATCGTAAACAGCCACTCGGTACCAATGGCGTGCTGTCCAGCTGGCAGCTTGGTCGCTCGAAACACACCACGTAGCTGCATTGAGTCGAACTCGGCGCAAATCGCCTTATGCCAATGACTTGATCGGGACCACCAACCGCGTCTTGAAACGTTGTCGGCTCGGACAAGTCAGTACCTTTGACTGCACTGGCGCTTGCTTGCCAAAAACTTGAGGGGAGTCATCATCGTCATCTTCATCACCGCCTTTGGCTCTTCGTCCAGATTGACTCGAGTTCTTGGACGCCGTTTTGCTTGGTACGACTCAAAGTCATCCGGCGCACTTGCTTCTTCCATCCCGGATCCACTGCGAGCAGGACGTTTCCGCTGATCGACTTGTTCATGGCTGTTTGAACGACTCTTGCGCTTGCCAGTTTGCTTGAACTGCATGGTGCAAGGCTCATCACTGATTTCCATCGAGTCGAAGCCCAACGCAGTGTCTATTGAGGGTTACCGGTACAATCCGAACTTAGCGCGTAGTTCTTACGGGATAGTTCTTACGTCGGTAATTACCTCAGAGATGATTAGACGCGTAGGATGATTGGACGCGTGTAAATCAGGTTGATTAGATGCACCATGTGATTGGATGCAGTCTAGGGTAGGCAGAGTTAAGACCTATGAATCAATCACTTTCCGATTTCCATTCTTCAGAGCAAGTGTCTTCTCTTCGGCTCGTCCAAGTGCAGACTCTCTTGCCCGCCTCAGCTTCCGACGCCAACAGTGTCATCGACAGATTCTTGCGGCAGTGTCGCTGAGAATCCAAATGTTGATTCGTCGAAGGTGACATCACGAGATATCACCACTTGATCTGCTTCAATGTCGTAAATGCGGTATGCTTTCGACACTTCTTCGTAACCCATGAACAGCCCTTCTCGCGCCTTCGGATCCCATTTCGATCGTTTTTCCTTGGGGGTCAACACGAACGCTCGGCAGCCAAAAACTCGCATGTGCTTCACACTTGGCCGCAATCCGTTGATGATCTCGAACGGAGTTTGGTCTTGGTACTTGGGTGACGGCAGGCGATTCTTGATGTAGATCGCCGTCATTGCTGCCTCGGCCCAAAAACACTTGTCCAGTTTAGCGTGGTGAAGCATGCTGCGGCCGATTGTCACGATGGTCCGAATCGCCCGTTCCGCTGTGCCATTAGTCTGGTGCGCATATGGAGCATTGACTTGTTGCTCGATTCCTTGATCATTATAGAATGCCTTGAGCGAAGTCGTCGCAAACTCACGTGCACCATCGTGTAAAAACAAACTCGACCGTGCAATCAAACTGAATCTGGACCGCCACGATAT